AAGAGCTTCTACCAGAGGCGACTGTGCAAAACCCTATAGATGCACAACTTTCAGTCAGTAGATGTGATCAGTCAAGGAAACACAAATCTGGAACAACATCCCAGCTGCTATAAGAGACTCCACCACATTCAGTTCATTTAAAACTAATCTGAAACGATGGCTTAAGAGAAACCAGATCTGTAACCACTAATGTTCTGCTCCTATGTAAATGTCAGTGTTGTATGTCATGCTTGTGTGTTTGTCTATTGTGACGCGCTTTATGTTCTTATGTTCTTATGTTTTATGTCTCTATCTCTCTGACCTGCCAGGGACTACAGATGAACAGTACCTTCGGGCTAATTCTGGCATATTTACAAGTGTATGTTCATGAATATGCATTGTCCCTTTTAAATAAATAAAACTTAAAACTTAAACTTAACCCTCTCCATGCAGGTGTTGCAGATTTGCAACAGCTAAATTCCAAGTACCTACTTACTCCACATCCATATTATATGAGCTTTTTTTACTCAGGAGCCTTTTTTCCCATCCATGCTGATAAACGTGGGCAATGCAGACTGTGCAAGAATGGCTACACGCAAACGGCCTGCCAGAAGTGCAAAATGCTTTTTTTGTTTACAAAGGATAAAAAAGTCAGAATTGTATATTACTACCCCATATTATAATTTTCCCCAAATATCAGATTTTTCCTGATACTAAAAATTTATTTCAGCCTGAGAGGGTTAAAATCATGTACAAATTATGCTCAACAATACACCACTAGAAAAAGTCACAAGTTTTTTTGGAGTAACTATAGACCATCATTTAAACTGGAAATCACACATAAATAAAATTTGAAATAAATGATCCAGAATAATCACTATTATATATAAATGAGCAAATGGTCTCAAATAAAAGTCTAGCCTGAAAGTGATTAAAACAAACGCCCCGGCTATTATTTGGTATTTTACAGTAAATGTTTAAGTACCTGTCCAAACGACAATGTTTACTGGTCGAAACTGTGAAGTTTGTATTTGTTTTGGTCTTTCGTCCACACAGAGCCGGTGTTTTGGGTGAGTGAAAACTGTGTTTTTTGAGAACGGGTTCCAAAGTGGAGAAATCTGAGAATTGTTGTGTGGACAAACAAACCACAGCTTTTGGAAAAAGATGACGTCATGACCGCAAATTTTTTTCAGGTGCATTGGTTGTGTGGACAGCCTAATTCTGGGCAGATACATGAATTATGATACTTAGTTTGTGCTGTAGTACTTTGTTGTACTGTCACTGATTTGTTTGTTTCTTCTTGATTTATTTATGAAAAAGAACTGGTGTCAAGATGATGCTATGACAAAGGAATAAAGGATAGGCATAATAAGCTCGAGATTCAGCTGACACCTTTTCAGTCTGTGTATGTTAAATATGAATAAAGTCAGAATATACCTGTGGCCAAACTAAATCAATCAATCATCAAATCAATCAATCATTTGGTCACTGTTAGCACAGCACTAGCATTAGCATGTTTCCTTCACTGCGATTCACCATGTCACTTCCTATTCCGCTCACACTCTATTAGATCTGTGCACATCACTAACGCTACAGATGAGTCGGCCAATCACAGTCCTCCCTCCACACTCCACACTCCCCACTCGCCCTGGGCTCTGGGGCGTCTTACATCACACCAAACAGCAGTGTGCTTCCTGTTGGCACGTGTGCACCTCTCATGGACTTTACATGTTGTTGTGTGGAGTTTACACTGAAAATGTCTCTGATCTGACCAAGATTTTAAAACTTACATCAGGTTACTCATCTTGTTTTCACATTTATTTTCTACTTATTAGTTGTGAGATGCTTCATTCTAGTGTACACTGCAAAAACTCAAATCCAGCCAAGTTCACATGACATGAAATAACAAAGTTTGATCATGATTTGAGGCAATTTTACTTGACAAGTCAAATTATCTGTATATATAGTGTAGACTACTACTACTACTACTACTACTACTACTACTACTACTACTGTATACTAGTACAACCAGTACCACTACTACTGTATACTACTACTACTACTACTACTACTACTACTACTACTACTACTACTACTACTGTAGACTACTACTACTACTACTACTACTACTACTACTACTACTACTACTACTACTACTGTACTACTACTACTACTACTACTACTACTACTACTACTACTACTACTACTACTTGTACTACTACTACTACTACTACTACTACCACTACTACTACTACTACTACCACTACTACTACTACTGTACTACTTCTACTACTGTACTACTTCTACTACTACCACTACTACTACTACCACTACTACTACTACTACTACTACTAGCTACTACTACTACTACTACTACTGTATACTAGACTACTACTACTACTACTACTACTACTACTACTGTACTACTACTACTACTACTACTACTACTACCACTACTACTGTACTACTACTACTACTACTACTACTACTACTACTACTACTACTGTACTACTACTACTACTACTACTACTACTACTACTACTACTACTACTACTACTACTACTACTACTACTACTACTACTACTACTACTACTACTACTACTACTACTACTACTACTACTACTACTACTACTACTACATGTACTACTACTACTACTAGTACTACTACTACTACTACCTACTACTACTGACTACTACTACTACTACTACTACTACTACTACTACTACTACTAGTACTACCACTACCACTACTACTGACTACTACTACTACTACTACTACTACTGTACTACTACTACTACTACTACTGTAGACTACTACTACTACTACTACTACTACTACTACTACTACTACTACTACTACTACTACTGTAGTACTACTACTACTACTACTACTACTACTACTACTACTACTACTACTACTACTACTACTACTACTACTACTACTACTACTACTACTACTACTACTACTACTACTACTACTACTGCTACTACTACTACTACTACTACTACTACTACTACTACTACTACTACTACTACTACTACTACTACTACTACTGACTACTACTACTACTACTACTAACTACTACTACTACTACTACTACTACTACTACTACTACTGACTACTACTACTACTACTACTACTACTACTACTACTACTACTACTACTACTACTACTGACTACTACTACTACTACTGTAGACTACTACTACTACTACTACTACTACTACTACTACTACTACTACTACTACTACTACTACTACTACTACTACTACTACTGTATACTAGTACTACTACACTACCACTACTACTGTACTACTACTACTACTACTACTACTACTACTACTACTACTACTACTACTACTACTACTACTGTATACTAGTACTACCACTACCACTACTACTGTATACTACTACTACTACTACTACTACTACTACTACTACTACTACTACTACTACTACTAGTACTACTATACTACTACTACTACTACTACTACTACTACTACTACTACTACTACTACTACTACTACTACTACTACTACTACTACTACTACTACTACTACTACTACTACTACTGACTACTACTACTACTACTACTACTACTACTACTACTACTACTACTACTACTACTATACTACTACTACTGACTACTACTACTACTACTACTACTACTACTACTACTACTACTACTACTACTACTACTACTACTACTGTATACTAGTACTACTACTACTACTACTACTACTACTGACTACTACTACTACTACTACTACTACTACTGTATACTACTACTACTACTACTACTACTACTACTACTACTACTACTACTACTACTACTACTACTGTAGACTACTACTACTACTACTACTGTAGACTACTACTACTACTACTACTACTACTACTACTACTACTACTACTACTACTACTACTACTACTACTACTACTACTACTACTACTACTACTACTACTACTACTACTACTACTACTACTACTACTAGTACTACTACTACTACTACTACTACTACTGTACTACTACTACTACTACTACTACTACTACTACTACTACTACTACTACTACTACTACTACTACTACTACTACTACTACTACTACTACTACTACTACTACTGACTACTACTACTACTACTACTACTACTACTACTACTACTACTACTACTACTACTACTACTACTGTATACTACTACTACTACTACTACTACTACTACTACTACTACTACTACTACTACTACTACTACTACTACTACTACTACTACTACTACTACTACTACTACTACTACTACTACTACTACTACTACTACTACTACTGTATACTACTACTACTACTACTACTACTACTACTACTGTACTACTACTACTACTACTACTACTACTACTACTACTACTACTACTACTACTACTACTACTACTACTGTATACTACTACTACTACTACTACTACTGTAGTACTACTACTACTACTACTACTACTAGTGTATACTACTACTACTGTATACTACCACCGCTGTATACTACTACCGCTGTATACTACTACTACTACCACTGTATACTAGTACTACAACTGTATACTACTACTACTGTATACTACTACCCCTGTCTATTACTACTACTACTACTGTATCTACTACAACTGTATACTACTACTACTACTACTACTACTACTACTACTACTACTACTACTACTACTACTACTACTACTACTACTGTATCTACTACTTTTTGTAATTATGAAACAAAATCGAATGTTGCTTGAATGAAGAAATACACACTTATTCCACTGGCAGATACTTTGACTTGTCAAGTTAAATCTACTCAAATAAATTAAAATGTTCTTAATTTAAGTCATTTTAATTTAGCCAGATATTGTTGTTTGCAGTGTAGAGATAGTTTATTTTAAGATAACTTGCCAAGTAAACAGACGGACAGATCATTTCACTACTTTAAAGTCATTTCCTAATAAGTTTAAGTGTTTATATCTTAAAGTTTTGGCCAAGCTTTTTGCAGGGTACCTTTGTTGTCCTTGATGTCCACCGCGGCCTGAGCCTCCAGTAGCAGAGAGATGAGCTCCTTGTTCCCACTCAGTGCAGCGTAGTGCAGCGGAGACAGGCTGTGGACACAAACAGTTCACATTATTATTATTATTGACAGACTGAACATTTTGAAAAAGATTATGTTTGTGACAATCGAAATGCATATTTAAAGGGCCTGTATTGCATTTTATGATCTAAAAATAGTAAATACAGTATCTTAAATCAGACCTATTCTGCAAAATCAACTTTCCAGAGCTCTTTTCCATGTTATAGTTGCTTCCCTTCTCATTTTCCCTCTCCAGGTTGTATTTGAAGTGATTCGTGCACCTTTAAACGACCTTTAATCGCTCTTGCCTGCTTCTCTGTACTTACTTCGTTCACCAGTTTTATTTTCTGAATCAGTGAGGTTGTTAGTGAAAATCTGTGTGTCTTGGTGTGTTGTGCAGTTTTCCGGTGTGGGTGCGGGCGGTTTGTTGTGATGACGTTGTAGATTATAAGTTTATAGCAGACATGAGCGTGCTATGTCTTCTTTAATAATGCACGAAATGGTTGGCACAAATGCTCAACCTTGGTTTTCAATGTTAATGCATTATTTAACCACTCCTCACTCACTCTTGCCCATCGTACTATATATAGTACTAGAATTCTGTATACTACTACTACTATTACTACTACTACTACTACTACTACTACTAGTACTGCTACTGCTACTGTTACTGTTACTACTAATACTATTACTACTACTACTACAACTGTATACTACTACTAGTACTACTACAACTGTATACTACTACTACTACCACTACTGTATACTAGTACTACTACAACAACTGTATACTACTACTACTACAACTGTATACTATTACTACAACTGTATACTACTACTACAGCTACTGTATACTACTACTACAACAGCTGTATACTACTACTATTACTACTACTACTACTACTACTACTACTACTGTATACTACTATTACTACTTTATACTACTACTACTACCACTACTGTGTACTACTACTACAACAACTATATACTACTACTAGTACTACCACAACTGTATACTACTACTACTACCACTACTGTATACTAGTACTACTACAACAACTGTATAGTACTACTACTACTACTACTACTATAACTGTATACTACTACTACTACTACTACTACAACTGTATACTACTACTACAGCTACTTTATACTACTACTACTACAACAACTGTATATTACTACTACTACTACTACTACTACTACTGTATACTACAACTACCACTACTGTATACTACTACTGCTACTGCTGTATACTACTACTACTACTACTACTGTATACTGCTATTACTACCACTACTACTACTACTACTACTACTACTACTACTACTACTGTATACTACTATTACTACCACTACTGTTTCCTACTACTACTACCACCTCTGTATACTACTACTAGTGTTACTACTACTACTACTACTACTACTACTACTACTGCTATTACTACCACTACTACCACCACTGTATACTAGTACTAGTGTATACTACTACTACTACTACTACTACTACTACCACTACTACTACTACTACTAAGTTTAGTCCCTCCAAACCCTCCCAATCACACCGTTCACTCACACATGGAGAGTCTTGCTCAATAGCACACAAATATTTACTCATGAAAGCAGAGATCAAACTGCAGCTATGCTTGTCTGCGTATCTGTGGACCGCTTTTCTTTTTTTTTCTTTTTTTTCCCTGTGCTCATAATATTTACCTCAAATAAAAAATAAAAATCCTCAACAAAAACAAGAATGTCGACTCTATTCCCTTTTGTCTTTATAAAAATTACCCGCACATTTGTAAACAGAGTGTGCAAAAGCAGGGAAAACTCCTCTGTCATAATCCTGAGCGTACAACTGCCCCGCCCCCCGATTCTACACCAACCAGAGATAGAGGGGACGGGAGGGGAGGGGGGGTGACCTACTTCCATTAATAAGCAATCTCTCTCTCTCTCTCTCTCCCCCCAAGCCCCACACACACTCACACACCGCACATACACGCACGTACACATAATCGACCATTGTGTTTGCGTCTAATAGATCCCCGGTGGATACAAGTCAAAACTACCACTCGTCAGCTATTTAAAATGTAAACAAAAAGAAAAAAAAATCAGATATGGGGTGGTGCTGAAAGTTTAACCACTTCTGCTGCTAAATATAGACAATCCATAGCTCCTCCACCCAAGATAAGAAAAGAAAAGAAAGCAAAAAACTAAACAAAACAGAAACGAGGATATGTCCATGTGCATATTTGGGACCTGGTGCTCAAAAGGAGTAGGATGAAGTTTAAAATGGTTGACACATTTTTTTCCCCTTTGGAATGCTTACTTATCGTATGCATTTCATAAATATACACAAAAACATATATGTATACAAATGCACTGTTGGGCAAGTTACTTCAAAACTGTTATGACTTGTTACTGTCATTTCAAAGTAATTAGTTACATTAAAATATTACTGCATTTAAAAGATGTGTCAGACATTACATTACTATTACATTACTTTTAAGATACTGTCACCAAAATAACTGTAAAGATGCTGAACTTTTGCGCCGTATATGGACTGAACCAGAACTAAACCAGGACTAAACTAAGTCTAAACCAGGACTAAACAAGGTCTAAACTGAGGACTGAACTGAGGACTAAACCGGGACTGAACCAGGACTAAACCAAAACTGAACCAGAACTAAACCAGAACTGAACCAGGACTAAACCAGGTCTAAACTAGGACTGAACCAGGACTAAACTAGGTCTAAACCGAGGACTGATCCTAGGACTAAACCAGGACTAAACTAGGACTAAACCAGGACTGAACCAGGACTGAACCAGGTTGAAGCATGGAGTTCTGTGCCAGTCTTTTAACTCGTGGTCACCGGACAAGTCTGAGCGGGTACTCATACTTGCAGGAAACTTGCATGGCGCATACGCCCGGTTGCCATGAAGCTGTGTTCTCGCTCACTCCAAAATTTCTTTCTGCTGCTCGATTACCGTTTTCTGCGGCATATTTCACTATTTGCAGCAGGACAACGTTTTTTTCTACAGGAGGCATGTGCAGTAGAGTGCGAAGTGAGAGTGGTACAGGAGTAACAGATACTGACACAGGAGCCTAGAGCCTCTCACGGCTGTCAGTCTGAAAATTTTAATATGTAAGTCGCACCAGCGTATAAGTCTCAGGAAACACCCAAACCATGAAAAATGTGCAACTTATAGTCCAAAAAATACGGTACTGTTTTGGTTATTTAGTCAAAAGATCGCTCTAATACCCGCACCTACTAATTCTGTAATAAACATACAGTTTAATGTGTCATTAAAAATAGGAACATTTTAGTCTGTCTCTGTCAGGTTTGGATCACACACTCCTCATGCTAAAATTCATGAGTAGCCTGGCGCTCACATCTTCAAATGAATTTCTGATTTTCTCAATGTAATATTCATTCTTTTTTGGTGTGGAGAATATTCTGCAAATGTATCACGTTTCATCATAAGTGCAAAAATCTTGGGAGCAAATCTATCTTCTGTGGTCTGTGATCTTACAGGAGCACGCTTAAATATAGGCATGATGGGCAAAGTATAAGATCCAGTATTGGCATCGGCCAGTATTGATACTTGATACTGACATTTGATTTTTTTTTTTTTTTTTTTTTTTTTTTTTTGAGCTTTTAAGCCATTTTATAATGTTGCTACCTCATCAAAAACATACCTGGAGTTGTGGGTTATTGGAGTAACACTATTATAAAGCTGGCTACAGATGCTCTGTTCCACCTTGTGATGAAATAAATGGGGGTGTGCAAAAATATCAAAATATGTATATATAGTGATACTAAATTTGGTTATACATTATTAATATGCTGCTGTATCATATGCATTTTCTTGAAGCTTTTAACACAGGGGTCTTCAAGGTTTTTCAGGCCAGAGACCCCCAAACTGATACCATATATATGTCATACAATTGTGTTTTATATTGAATTGGGCCTAGTGTCGTGTATAAACAGCTACTCTGTTATTATACGTTCAATACTAGGGGGGTATTCCATCAAAGTCGCTTAACAAGTCTAGGATTATCCTAAAATCCTGAGCTGAAACTAACTCCATCTCCAGTTTAAGCCTCAACTCTTTTCATGACAGAAATAAGCCTGACCAAATATACTGACCAAAGCCACTCAGGCCTGAAGTTTAAGCTGCACTGTGCTCACGGTGACTCTAAGAAGGACAGAGCAATGGAGCAAAAACATCACGGAAAATGGGCTCAAAGTGTGACTTTTTTAATGATCTGACCAAACGAGAGAGGAGCCACAGCGCAGGGGCAAGAGTTTGATTTGGGACAAGGAACTTTTCTGGTCATTCTGATCTGAGGAGTGAGAGGAAAGACACGACTCCACCCTCCTCTCCTGTTCTCCCCCTCTTCTCCCGGTCACTCTGAGGCTAGAGAGGAGGCGGTGGAGTCTGGTTAATACGCTCGGGAAATGAAGTTGCCTCACTTCATCCCAAAGCACTGTAGTACGTGCAGAGCTTAAGTGGCGTAGTTTTGTAACAGAACTCTTCACATGTACCCAAGAAGAAACGATAAAATCCATGCAGACATGTTTGCAGTTTGACAGGGAGAGAGAGATGAGGGAATGAAGAGAGAGAGAGAGACAGACGCGATGAAGGAGCAAACAGACAGAACCCACTGAACACTGGTTCCTCCTCATCCTTTAAAAATGAAGAAATATATATATTTGTTTTAATTTGCGACGCCCCTGCCGTACCTCTGCGACGCTTCGTTGAAGACATCTGTCTTAACAAGTTAACAACTACCTTTTACCTTTATAAATGGGAAAGTCCAGAGCTAAATCTTCCAAATGATTCTAATGAAGGTATGTGGAGATTAAAAACATGGAGCACTTCCTGTATTACCACATGACATCACAAGGTGGAACAGAGTGTTTTGAGTTTGAGAGGTAGAACTCTAAATATGCAGGGTTTGTGTGTTAAACATGTGTGAATGAAACAAAACACAACTCCAGGTCTGTTTGTGACTAGGAAACACTTCTTTCCAACTTTTTTACACCATTTAATTAGGTTTGGAAATGGAAAATCATCACCAGATCATTACTCAAAACTATAAAAAGCAGCACTGAAAATTATCACCTACACTCGGTCGTGAACATGTTAGCGAAGGTGAGAATCAGGCTAGGGCTAACATGACGGAAATAAACGAACAAAACAAGACAAAATGTGTGTCAAATGTGTGCGTTGTGAATGTACTAAAGAAGATCTCTCACCCATCTGCATCCTGGATGTTGACGTTCACCCGCTTTGCTGCTCCCAGGAGCTCTGAAAAACAAAAAGAAAAGAAAATGTTAGCGTGTTTACAACAGTGTGCGGCCATGTTTCTACAGAAGCCCAGGATGGATAAGCTAAAAACAAGCTAACCCGCTACATGCTAGGAAAAGCAGACCCATTGTGAAAACATAGTGGAATATAAATTATTTAAAATGGGTCAGAAATTGCACAGAAAAAAAAACCAAAAAAACAAAAAAACTGTAGCTCCCTGCTTGTTTATTGTAGTTCTTTATTTAATCTCTTACATTATGTCATTCCCCGATTCGAATCAGGACCCAATTTGTGTCAGTCATGCTAGTCATTAGCTTGACTTTACTTTCATACTTTTACTCAACAGAAACAGTTAAAAATGTTATCTGTCAGTTGAAACCTTAGCGCGTCATTTTTTTAAAAATTAGATAGAGCTCAACAAAGAATTTATTATTAATTTGGGTGACCAGATTGGGGTTGTCAAAACAGAGGATACAGGGTTCAGGAAGAAAAACTTGGCAATGTTTATACTTTGTAACCAGCGATTTCTTTTGGTGTTGAATTTAAAGTTAGAAATATGTGATATTATGTGTATCAGGGGAATTTTGGACAATTTACTGTATTTCATTTACAATAGATATTTTGATACATAGGCTATGATACGATACATACCTCGATACACTGAGCTTTCGATTCATTACGATATATATTTCAAATTGATTCGATATGGTTCAATGAAAAATAAAGACTAAATCGTGGCTGTGATGTTAAAAATCTTTGTTAAACCAGTTCTTGTGAAAACACTTTAATCATCAAAACATTGAATATATCAAATGTGTCACATAAACGAGTCTCCTTCCTCTAAACATGCAACAAAACTGTAGCTTTAACAAAATAATTTGGTAAAATATACAAAAAGATACTCTATATATTTCAATATATTAATACAGCAGCTCACAATATCGATACTGTATCATCACATTAGGCGATAAGATATTTCAGTATTTTTGCACACCCCTATTTGCGTCAGTCATGCTTCACGTTCGCCTCTTTGACTTTATTTTCACAATTTTACTCACCAGAAACAGTTAAACATGTTATCTGACAGTTGAAACCTTAGTACGTCATTTATTTTAAATTAAACAGAGCTCACAAAGAAAGGTTCATAATGATTATTATTTCGGGTGACCAAATTGAGGTTATCAAAAAGGAGGACACCGGGTTCGGGGCAAAAAACCTGGTGATGTTTGTACTTTGTAACTGGCAATTTCTTTTGGTGTTTGAATATAATGTTAGAAATGTGTGATATTATGTGTATCAGGGGAATTTTGGACAATTTACTGTATTTCATGAGGGCCGGGTATCATTAAGAAGTTGTCGATACGACACATATTTCGATACATAGGCTATGATACAATACATACCTCGATACAGTGAGCTTTTGATTCATTACGATATATTTCAAATTGATTCGATATGGTTCAATAAAAAATAAAGGCTAAATCATGTGATACTAAATGTCTTTGTTAAACCACTTCTTTTGCAAAGTGAACATGAAACACAAACATTTTAACACAAAACTGTGAAAATATCAAATGTGTCGCATAAACGAGTCTCCTTCAAACAAGCAACAAAACTGTATCACTGTCACAAAATAACTGAGTAAAATATTTAAAAAAATAGTCTTGGCGATATATTGATACAGCAGCCCAGGATATATATTCACTGTATCATCACATTAGACGATATATCAATATTTCAATATTTTTGCACACCCCTATTTGCGTCAGTCGCTTGACTTTATTTTCATAATTTTACTCACCAGAAACAGTTGAAAATATTAGCTGGCAGCTCATCATTTATTTAAAATTAAAGAAAGTTTCATAACGATTATTATTCAGGGTGATATTACAAAGTCTACTAAGCCACAGCTCAATAGTATAAGACAGTGTAGACTATATTTATGTTTTCATGGGTTGTTTTTCTGTCAGTGTCTATGTCCTTTGTCCCCTGCTCCTGTCGTTTCTCACAGACAGGAGGCTTCAGTCTGTGATTCAGAGCAGAACAAACAGCACAGACTTTAGCCTTTATCAGGACGTCTGAGCACATATTTTATCATGTATTTATCCCATATTTAACATGAGATCCTGTTGCTGAAGGTGGGACTATTCCCATGTAGTATGTGTGTGCCGTGGTTACATGCGTTCGCGACACTACAGACTTTTTCAGAGATTTATGATCATTTCTCCACCAATATGAGGTCAGTTTTCATCAAATAAAAAGTGGTGTAGAGTTTGAGACACAAAGAGCTCGTTATGATCTCTCTACAGTAGCTAATACGCCTTGTAATATGCTTAATAATGTAGGCACATTTTCTGATCAAATGAGCGGTCTGCTCTCTCACTTGTTTAGAGTTTAGACGCACAGTGCTGGAGCAGTGCTGGTTATGGGGTCTATTCACACTTACGACACAAACCAGGAAGAGATGCAATTACAACATTCCAGGCCCAGTTTTATACATCTCCATATCATTGTAACATTCCGTTATGTTCGGCTAATCAACAATTACAACCATACCTCAGTTTTCATCATTTGTCCACTGACGCACAACTCCGAGTGCACTGTGTACATGCGATTAGAAGAGATGAGGCGCCAAATTCAAGATGATTCCAAACAGCACATACGTCTGCAGCCTTCATTTTACCGTTGATCACATTTACATTTATTTATTGCAGTCAGTTTTGATAGATCCATGATATGCTACGTTCAGACTGCAGGGCTTAATGCTCAATTCAGATTTTTTGGTGAAATCTGATGTTTTTGCGAGGTCGTTCACATTTCCAATTAAATGCAACTTGTATGTGATCTCCAGTGTGAACAGTAAATGGCCCAAAAATGGCCCACATGCGCACTGAAGGACACAACGACATCTACTGCAGTGAGCGTGCTCTGTGTTTACAGAAGTTGTCCAAACATGGACGCAGCATCGAGCACCTGCAGATTTTAAAGTTCCTCTCGTACCGGAGCCAGAACATGAACAACTTATTTGTTTTAAGGAGGAGATTGAGAAGGAGAAGGATGAGGTTTTTGGCCATGGCATTTTGTGGGGCAGCCCGTTGAAAGGAACGTGTGGATGTGGAGACGTAGCCAAGAGTGGTGGGATAGCGATGTGCTTCGCTTCAGTGACACAGAGTTCATTTACAATTTTCCTATGACGAGAAGAACGTTTGTGTACATTTGTGGCTTGTTGATAACGTGTAGGTGGATGAATGCGCTTTGGCCGTTCAGACTGAAGTCGCATGTCAAAAGATCAGATATGTATCGGTTTTAGGAGCACATATCCAAGTCTCCTGGGTCACATTTGAAAAAATCGGATCCGTGTCGTTCAGACTGTCATTAAAAGATCAGATACAGGTCACATAGGGGCCAAAAAATCAGATTTGGGTCACTTCAGGCTGCAGTGTGAACGTAGCGTTAGATGAGCACAGTGTCAGTAACTACACCGGAAGTTGTAATCGCATCTTTCCAAACATCGTCCTGGTTTGTGATGTAAGCCTGAATAGAGCCTATTGTGTCCATGGAAATATAATAAGATCTTGTTGAAGGCCAATCAATCAATCAACAACTTTATTAATCCCAAAGCAAATCCGCAATTCAGTTCGCACATCTCTGGTCATGCACAATCCATAAATAATAAAAGAAAAAGAAAATCAGATGCCAAACATTCAAACCTCAGTGCACTAGGGACACAATAGCAAATGCACTTTCCATTTAAAAGCTTTATGGCAGAAGGAATGAAAGATTTGGCATAGCGGTTAGTCTTTTGCTGTGGGGTGACATATCGCCTTTGAGAGGGTATTTGCACAAATTGTGAGGGCAGGACATGGTTAGTCTGGCTCAGTATGGCCTTAGTCTTTTGGAGCACCCGATGTTTCCACACAGCGGCCAAATCCTCCATCTGAACACCACTGATTTTGCCGCCATGTATGTATCTGATCAGAAGAGCAAAGATTGTTGCCAAAAAAAAAGATAAGTGTCCCACCCAAAGCTGTCGATTGATAGAGTCAAAATCAAGGACATTGTGGGATAATTTAGAAATTCCTCCTGGACCAGAGGAATTTAAATATTCTTTTTTTGAAATACAATGGCAAAAATACCTTACCACTGTAACAATCAAATACATGAAATATTACATTCAGATCAACTGGTCTCCATGTTTCTCTGCACTCATCTGTTTGCTTGAGCTTTTTAGCTGTTAAATGTGTGTTTAATCATTTATTTGATCATTACTCTGCTGTCTGATATTGAACGGCACATGTGGAGTTAGTACTTCCCCCACAGATAGAGCAGCTGTGCAGATGGTGCAGCCACATTCTGCTGTATTTTAATAGGATTTTTAATAGCATTAACTTGGTATGTGCAAATGTACACATCACCCCACTGAATTTTTACAGCTTTGTCATAGATAATCCTCCTCTTCACATCTAGGCTGACACCATTTATATTCGGCATACTTTGGTACAGTACCACTTTATTGTTTAGTAGGCCTAACTACACTCTAATTAGCCTTAATGTAAACCTATTCTGCAAAACTGACTTCTCAGCACTTCTAACCATGTTATAGTTGTTTACTAGCCAGGCTGGTGCCACCTAGTGCCTCCACTCAATTTAATTTATCTCCAGCAACTAGGTCAGGAATCAGAATACACTAGACAGTTCGCAAAAACCCCGGAAGTGCAAGTCTGGGCACCAGTCAATCAGTGAAGAGCCATATATTCTGTTTTGTCAACGATTCCCGAGATCAAGGATTTAAAGCCGGAACAAAGAGAATGTTTGGTGAATTTTAGCAAGGGCAAAGACGTTATTGTCCTTCTTCCTACGGGATTTGGGAAAAGCTTAATATAAGAGTTAGCCCCATTAGCAGCGAGTTAACCCCGTTAGCACACTGTCGAGTGAACGAGTTCTAACACTGAGAGGTCAGACGGTTTCCACGAGTTTCCCCTCACAAAGTTGTATTTGGT